ACTACTATATAGTAGTATAGTAGTAGTAGTAGTAGTAGTAGTAGTACTACTACTACGTACGTACGTACGTACGTACGTACGTACGTACGTACGTACGTACGTACGTAGTATATATACTACACACACACACACACACGACGACGCGACACACACACACACACACACACACACACACACACACACACACACACACACACACACACACACACACACACACACACACACAGAGACACACAGCTGTAGAGGGAAGGATACTTTGGCTTTTTAAAACGTTATTCACAATTTTTGCATGTGTTATTAAAATACAGGTATTAAAGCAAACAGCAATTAACAATTTTGAAAAAAACGTGTGCAAAATGCAATTCATCATCACTGACAGAACAAACATTATATCCATAGCACCAAGTTTAAAACTATTTGAATTATTCTGGCTCTGATGGTAGCCTATCAAGTTTCGCAGATAATATATCATATAGAGCTACACACGTCATAGCAACACTGGCACACACACTATTCTATCTCCCAGTTTCTCTCCCTTTCACACACACACACACACACACACACACACACACACACACACACACACACACACACACACACACACACACACACACACACATACAGCATGTAAGCAGGCCATCCATCAGAGCCTCCAGTCTGAATCATTTATGTGTTCCAGTCTGGCTCGGTGGTAATGAAGTCTTGTCTGTAATGGACTCTGATGTTCAAACAGGCACAACTGAGAGTCTTTTCAATTAGAGAAAGTTTCTCTTTCTTGTAGTTTGTCGTTTGGTGTACAGTGTGTCTGTGCCGCCACTAGGGGAGCTGCAGCCAGTCAAGTTTCTTTTGTTCACAAGGCAGCCATTTTCTATGGGGCCCAATATTTCTCTATGCAGGCGAAATAAAATCACCCTTGCTCTAACCCTAAGTATCTTCACTGAATGGTTACTATAAGAACACCGGGATAAATAATGGTTAGTGCAACCTTAGGTTAGTATGGAAGAAGGACATTCTTTATAAATCCTTCAAGGGGAAATTTTTTTCCTGTGTCTTGTGTAAATATGAATTGTCTCCTTCAAAGGAATTTAATTGAACGTATCATGAAGAGGATTTCAATTGGTTGTGTTGGGATTGATTTATTTGAGTTGCAATGGCAGAATGCTATCAGCCATTATGACGGTTGAGTAAACCAATGGCTGTTTTGATCTTTGTTAACAGAATCGTTTGACATGTGTGTTGGTGTGCTAGTTAACTTTCTGAGATTCTGGGGAAAGATTGATGCAACTCTAATGTCTGTACAGTAAGTACAGTATGTAACCTGTTAGCTTAATTTGCCTCAAAGACTGGAAACAGGAAGCAGCTATAGCCAAAATCCTAGATTATCCCGTTATATATTACATACACACATATATATATATATATATATATATGTTAGCTGAGTGTTGCCAAAAGGGAAACATTCATAGCAGAATAACAATTGTATCCACGATGAAACGTAATGCTTCCTTATTCAGAACTTTTCATTTGAGGAGGGCACTGTGAAGGATCCTAAGATCAGCAACATCTAGTAATGGGTACAAGTGGCAATATCCACCCTGAATCTTTGAAACAAGTTGTATCCCATGCTCTTTCCATTCGAGACTGAGAAATGATTAGTATCTGCATGTTGGAGCATAACTGTAGGCAGAGTTTCCCTCAGGTACTCAAACTGTCTGCGGTTTGAATAACATCAGTGGAATCGTACCTTTCCAAACATCACATCCAGTCAACGCTGGCATCCAGCTACAGATTCTCTTTGTGTGACTGGTGCTGGGCAGCCATCCAGAATAAACTACAAGATTACATTTCACTCTTTGTGCTGCCGCTGCCGGCCAGCACGAGAAAGTTATTACCCCTGAAGTTTATTAAGTTATAACGCCGGGTGAAGAACCCCATTAATTGGCGTGTTGCTGTTGGTGGCTGGGCGAGGTGGGGTGCAAGGGTTGGGGTTGGCGGGGAATAAAATACGGCTTCTGGTGGAAATGTAATAACGTGCCTTTGGGATATATGAGAGGTCAATTTCTGGAACTATTAGGGGGAAATTGCTCAGGGAGGGAGAAAGAGATGGGATGTGATATTAGTCTTCGGATACTGTTTCAATGCAAGCAGCATTCATCATGGTGTACACACACACACACACACACAAACACACACACACACACACACACACACACACACACACACACACACACACACACACACACACACACACACACACACACACACAAAGACACACATTGGCCTACAATTGAACACATCGTGCCGCAGGGTCGTAGCTTAACACAATTTTTTATCTTTTCGTCCATGATTGTCCAAGTGACATCCCAGCAGATACAAGGCTGCAGCCTAAAGAGAACTTCAAGCTAGGACTGTACAAACTATAAACCCCCACCCATATCCTTCTTTTCATCTGTCCACATCCTTACTGTTGCAACTTGGAGAAACAAGTCAATGCCATCCACCCCCGCCCCCCCCCGCCGGTTTGTCATCCCGGGTGACAGCCACGGTCGCGGCACAGCTCCGGAGGTAATGGATGATCCTGGAGGTGATTATACACCCGAGGAATGCAAAGCACCCACTTTACGGTGTGACAAAAGCGCTGCACACCCCCACCCCCTTCTCACCTCTCCACCAGGCATTATTCTGCCCTGAGATGAAATCGAAGCTTTACATGCGGGCCATGTTGCAGGGAATTGATTTCAGAGGGTATTAAGGACATATTTACTGGTGATGGCCGCTAACTAACTGGGTTGCTGTGATTAACACAGGGAGGAGATATTCTGTCAGATCCCCGAAGGAACAGGCCGGGTGACTCCGAGAACATCAATGGAAGTCTTTGAGATATTCTTCTGTAACCAACTTCTGAATATGATTTACAGAAAAACCAGAAAAAGAGATTACGTTCACAGATTCTGCAAACCTCTCAAGACCTTGTTACACTTAATAGCCTACTAAGTGTAGTAGGTTTATCAAGGATTAGCAACACGTCTTTTAAATCAGGTATGACTTTCATTGCTTTGGTTTGTTCACATCTATGTAGAACATCAACATTTTTCACTCCACATAGTTTGTTTTGTACATCTTAAATAGTGATGTCATACCTTTTCAACCTTAAATGATCCTATGTCCTTATTTATCTGATTTGATCATTTCAAATGGCGTTGAGCAAAACTCTAAGTTTTATAAACATGAAAATAAATGTCCAGTGATGACAGTTTATGGAATTCCAGGAGATGTATGAGACAGTTGCGTTGGTTCAGTTTGGTAAGCAGCTCATAAATTACATTTTGGTGATGGATCAGATGTGGTATTTCCATTATTACCATTACTCAGTTTGGACTGAAAAGGTCAAACATTTGATAATTAAGCGGAAACTTAGTATATATCATCATTTTATCTTTTAACAAGTTTTCCATTTTCCATGATTCCTTTCTTTAAATCTTAGTATTTCCCTGGTGTAAATGTTGCATGTCAAACATGTAAATGCTAATGTGCTTCCTCATAAATAAAGCTAACATGGCTTAGCGCCATACAAAACAGTTATTTGTCCACAACTGGGAACCATTATGAATGCCATCTGCTTTTATTATGTCAATCTTCTTGGCATGACACCAAGAAGAGCTGTCACAGTATTCAAATATTTCTAGTGAGATTGACATACAGTATGAAGCCTCCACTGGAATATGATAATGTAAGTTAGAGCAGAGACTTCTCAAGAAAAGATACATGTGACTTTAAAGCTTTTCTCTTGTCATCAAAAGTCGCTGAAGTTCAGGCTTTTCCCATGACATGTGAGTGATAGGGTCATCTTTTCTGCCATTTTAGGCCAGATAACTGAGGATGCATTTTACATAAGGGAAGGAAATCTCCTTAACGCCAAATTTTTTGCAGTTTAAAGCAACAATGAGATGCTTTTTTGGGCCCAATGTCACCCAAACTGACTTCCTTGGAAGTCATATCCCCAAAATTAGCATGATGATTAGACTGCATGAGTGCTGTGTTTCCTTCATTGGGACTTACACTGCCTCTGGTAGACAGCCAATGACTCAACATAATTCCAGTGCTCTTCCCGAACCCTAAACCAACCCTAATCCTCTTTTAGTCACATTTGGGTGGTGTACAACGACTTGGAATTATACCGCTGACATCAGAAATGCAGAAACAGCAGATTTAAAGAAAGTCATTCCATTGTGGTCTTGCTTTGCACGCTGCCCCTTACTGCTGTTTCTCATAGGAGATGGTATTTAAGCTTTTGTAACAGCAACTAAAATGTAAGAACTAGTTCTGGCTAATGAGAAGGCAGAGATGTTTCGCGTTGCATTGCATTTATTTTTTTCTTTTAGAAACTGTAGCTGGTGCTTGGTTGGCCTGACTGTTGTGATTGGATCCTGACCTGGCCACAGCGAAGGATTGCTCATGGTTAAGGGTTTTATTTAAAAGAGGTGTGAGTGCAAATGAATCAGAAGCAGATCTGGTCTTTTAAAATGTTGCTAAAAATAGCAGAGAAAATAAACGTCTATTCTCAGGTTTTAACTTAACTGATTATATTTGCAAGATAGTGTGAAAGGCATGGAAACTGCCATTGTCATTCCTGATGGATTTTTTAGGAGCCTGTGTTGGCCAACTGTGTCTTAACGCTGCCTCATAGTTGAGATACCTGGTGCTTTGCAGAGGGGAAGAGCAGATAGCTTTCAGCCCTAAACCAGAGCCATGCATCCAAACAACAAGCCTCTGCTAATTACATCGGTCTGAAAGCTATAAAGAGGGAAGCCTGGCAAACCAGATAATTGGAAGAAAGAAAGAAATAGAGACAGATGAAAAAAGAATCAAAGCGATAATTCAAAACTTTCTCTCCGCCAAAAATAAAGAACAGCTAATTTAGGAGCCTTACTTATGCATTACAATGCTGTCATTCAAATCTCAAATGCACAATTCAACCATCTTGAGCCAGTTTAGCTTTTCAGAGTTTTGATGAGGCAAAATGCAACACAAAGTCTCTGAATGTAATTATTCTAATATTGACAGAACTAAATTATAACTCCTCCTGTTTTTGATTTGAGTATGTAGTTAAAGTCTCTATAAGTTTATTGAAAGGCAAAGGATGCAGGCAAGACATATTTGTTAGTCTGTTCCCATCAGGGCCATACATTTCTGTTTATTAATTTAGTAGAGATTAAGAGTGAGGCAGTGACAGTGTGCTGAGCTACAAAATGATTATTTTTCTGATGCAAACAAGAAAAAAAAACAATATTAGGCCTGTAAAACATTTTCCCTGATTTGCATCCTCCATTTTTTCTGTGGTTAAATGGGATTTAGCAAGTAACAATGCCTCCTGCCATCATGCGTATGGTATCACCTGTTCTCGATGAAGGTCACCTTAAAAGAGGTAGCAATAGATTGGTTTTGCTTTTTAATAATTGTACTTAAATTCGGAATTAAATTTGGTGTAATTCTCTAATGTCAGAACCGGCTTTCAGAGCTATAGTGCCGTCTAAGTTCTTATGATTTGTAAATGAATAAAACAAAAAAACAATCAGTAGGGGGTTTGAAGTGTGTTTGTTTTTCAATAGCCATTTTGTGAAAGTCCCTCTTTACAAAGATGTTGTTCATGTTAATGTGTCCATTTGCTTTTCTGCAGACTGTAGGTTGGGTGAAGCCGTTTGTCCTCCATGCAGTGTCAAAAAAACCGCCTTGGGTCAAATTACTGCTTTTTTCACCATAAAACTAGTTCACACACCACAGTGTCAATTGCAGAGTTTCCGAGCGAAGCCTTTACAGAGAAATATGGTTATAAACCCTCCAAAGACAGGATTGGAGACCTTTATTACATTTTCTGCTTCTTCCTCTTGTCTTTTTTTTTCTAGCTGACCCTTCGGTAAACTGGCTACATGCACGCTCCTCCCGGAAGAAGCGATGCCCGTACACCAAATACCAGACGCTCGAGCTGGAGAAGGAGTTCCTGTTCAACATGTACCTCACGCGGGACCGGCGGCATGAGGTGGCGCGAGCACTCAACCTGACGGAGCGGCAGGTGAAGATCTGGTTTCAGAACCGGAGGATGAAAATGAAGAAACAGAGCAAGGACCATCCCAAGGACTAGCGGGACTCTCAATGGCGATGACGCACGCATACACCAAAAGTCCCATATTGCTTATGTCTTAACCGCAAACTCTCTCTCTCTCACACACACCACACACACACACACACACACACACACACACACACACACACACACACACACACACACACACACACACACACACACACACACACACACACACACTTGCGGAAGCTCGTAAACACGTCTGACGTTTAAACCTTCATTTGAGGCTTTGGTAAAATCTCACAGGTGTTTGTGTGTGGGGGGGGGTTATTTTTCTCCAGTACTACTCTGCTTTTAGTTATTTATTGTTCCGTAGCTGAATAAACCGGGTTTCACATGGCCATTAATAAGCAAGATGAGNTGATGCAAAACAAGTGATATTTGACCTTTTTAGACAGATTTAGCAAAAAAAAACTCTTCTGGGGCCATTTGGGTGGATTTTTCATATCTCTGGCTCCCCCTACTGGATTTTGACATGTGACATCTCTTTCTAACCGTCAGAGCCAATGGAATCGAGGGGAACTCCCACATAGTCCTTATTTGGTCATGTGTGTGTTTTAGACTGCCGCATAGCCTAGTGTTGGAGCACTATCGACCTCTTGGGTGTTTTAGCCTTTGCAGACAATTTAAATACGAAAAATCTTTATAACACACTACAGGAAGATATAGAAGGAGTCCATTTGAGGCGTTCCAGGCAGGGGGGTAGTGTGTGGGAAGAGCATAATAGGACCTCTTTCAATGATAAGTTAATGAGAGGTTGTCTATTTAAATGTCAACACACTGACTCAAAGTGGTCAATTCATTTGAGCACAGATGTGTTGTTCATAATGTCCGACCCCATGAACCTCTAGCCATGTCTATCTGTACTGCAGTCTCAGGCCAGAAGCCACACATTAGAGCCACATGCAGCTCTTCCAATAGTAAGAAGGGGAAGAGATTACAAATGTGCCAAAGATCTTAACACTAGATGTCTTTACTTGGAAATTCATGCCAACAAACCCAATCTGTCATGTATTGTGCACTTGGGAGATCTAGATCTCCACCCCCCCCAAGCACCACCACCCTTTCCACTGCTCTCTTCCTCTTCCTTCACAATGCTGGCTCTTTTCTCCTTCATGTTTCCTCACTTAAATCCCTCTTGCAACTCTTCTGTCTTCTCCGGGTGATGCCAGATAATGACTTGTCATGTAAACCCTTGTGTGCGTATGTAAATCTGTCCATGTGTGTATGTGTGTGCGTTCACTTCCTGCATCCTCCCCCACCCACCATCTCTGCAGATCATCTTCTTGGATGCCTTCTTCCTGCTTCCTGTCTTTGTCAGTAGCTTCTCCTTTGGAACTCTTCCATTGCAAGAAGCTGAAAAGACTTTCTGGATGTCTTATGTAACCGCGCAGATCGCTGTGGCGCCGAGGTACCATGTGTGAAGTCAACATGCTCAAAGACTGGCAGATTTGACGTTGCGCGATTCTCTGATGAAATGTAGGCAATTAATGAGCTCCATCGAGTCAAGAAAGAACAACAACAAACAAGGGCCCTGCTTATACTGTCACAGCTGTAGCTCCAGAGAAACTGAATTGATTTAATTTTGATGTTGTTGTCTTGTAATGTATTATATAAAACTGCAATGACTGATAATGAAACTTTTCATTTTGAACACAATAAAGGAATATAATAATTGTGTTCTGCCCCATACATATGTGTAGTTGCATTCTCTCTAACGGCATTGTGCTTGAGCAGGTGTTCTTCACAGTTAGTGTGTTGATGATACCACTTCTATTGATAATCACTGTATTTTCCAAATGTTGAAGCACAATCCTTAATCAAAAGTCAAATTGTTGTTGTATTTGATTAACTACTTAGTAAGGCAAATTGCAAACCATATTTCCACTTGTTTTTAAGCTAGCATGATTCATAATCAAAGTCATGATAATTAATCAAGACTAAAATCCACAGCCATGCTTGTTCAGAAAGTTAGGGTTAATAAAGTTATTGTGATTCATTCTAAGGGGCAACATTTCATTGTAATTCGTTCAAACTCAAGTCTGAGATTTCACTCAAAGCCACAAATATCAGAGGATATCCCAAATTAATTATTATATTGTAAGGGACCCATGCATATTGGTATACAAATGTTGGTGCTTAATCATCCAGTTGATGTTGGGATATTTTGTTGGATAAAGGGAAAGTCTTACTTGCTGTTTGTGCTAGAGGACAGTCATGGGCAGTGTTGGGACTAACGCAAGTACAAAGTAACGCGTTACTGTAACGCAACTACTTTTTGCGGTAACTAATAGCGTTACTAGTTACCTATTCCCACAAAGTAACGCCGTTATAGTTACTGTGATTTAAATGGGTGCGTTACTGCGTTACATTATGT